TCTCTAATAGAGTGAAAAAAGTATTTTACATTTTGGTCAATTTTAAATAACAATCTAATATACATTTTAAACCTAATCATAAGAGAGTCTTTTAGCATAATGTTGATCCATAAAATGGCTCAATCTTCTGTTTTTGTCATCCCACTCTCCCAAACCAACATCACCAATTGTCTTTAAATTAACTTCCCATTTTTAGATTGTTCTTCTCCATAAGATACATCCAATGAAAAATAAACATGGGTCCTATTTCAGAGAATGAGTAAGATTTTAAATGAACCATCATAGCTTGGGCAGCTGTTCAACCTTCCACCAATAAAAACTGTACAGCCTCTGTTGAAGAATTAGTTTTCAGAAGTTGCTAAGGTTCACCAGAATGATCCAGTTCACTCTGTTAACCTTTTACATTTCCTAATTTAAGATCTATTTAATTTAGGTACAGTTTCCGGAAAAAAAACTATTCCTTGTAGTCACAATCTTCAACTTACTCTATTAGGATATTATGTGATTGAGCAACACAAGGTAACCCTACCTGGGAAAGAGAAGGATTCATAGTTTTCTAGATTTTGTATGAATAAAAATCTAAACAAAATGATGTTCACGTTTATTACTTTAGACAATAATTAGTACCTTTTCTGCTGAAGTTGCAGGTGCAAGTCTTTTAAGGTGATTTAAGGTAGATTTAGGTGTAAACATTAAATTATGGCTGGGTCGTTATAAGTCTTCCATCCTCTGACATGGGAGCCTGCTTGGAGCTCATCTGCCTGGCTGTGTTCTTACTGGAGGGGCGACCTGTGGAGCTGGTTGACTGTTAGATTTTGTATCTTTGCTTCTTTTTGTATATCTGCTTTTATCTGCAGCAGAGGTCCTGGGAGTGTCTTGACTACTTCTTCTTGCTTAATGGTAGACTGATCTGGTTTCACCCTCTTGTAAAACATATCCTTAAGACGAACATAAAGTTCTTTTGGTGACTCACCCCAATGAACGTCCAGGGATCAAAACCTCCTCTTATAGGTGTCGGCTGTAATCTCATATTTTGTGAGAATGGCATCTTTAACCTTTTCATATACTTCAGAATAAGCAATTTCCATCCAAACATAAGAACTACAGGTTTTCCCTGTTAGTAAAGGGACCAGTCGGAAAGCCCATTCCTCTCGAGGTCAATCGGTCTCCGCCAGTCACGTGACTTTTGTTGCTAAGACGCCATTTTAGGTGGAAAAGGCGTAGTGTACCGCGCCTGAGGTAAACAATTGACGTCACTTGGCGGAGACCAATTGGCAGACCTGAGCCATCCTTTCAAAGGTCGTTAAAAAGTGCTAAATATCATCATCAGAGCTCAATGGGAGCGGCTTCCACTCTCTCTGCATCGGTGGTGGTTGGTACATCATACGGCTTGGTCCTTCTTCAGGGTGATCTCCCTCCTTGTCATGCATGTGAGGGTCCTCCTCAATGTCATCACGCTGTTGTTCCTCCCTCATGTCCTTCACTTGAGCCTGGAGTTGTTGAAACTGATGCTGTAAATTCTTCCATCTGAACTCTTGATGTGCTGATTCTTTTTCTTTCTGTTGGTCTCTTTCAGTTTGAGACTTCATCAATGATTTGGGCAGGTTTGCCAGTTCATCCAGTTTATCACCAAAGCTAGCTCCTGCTTTCGCTCCGTCCATAGCTGCAGTATACTCCACACTATCAGCTTCTTTATCATTTCTTTTCCCACCTCTTGTCATCATTCTGACACCACTTGCCAACTTGACCTGCGGAGGCCCAATATTTAATGGAGAGGCAAGACAAAACTGATGTTTTTGTGGCTTTATTGATCTCCAGCTTGTGCACACCAACACCTTCTTACACTAAAAAGAACAAACAACATGTTATACCAAACTCAATTCTGGTGACATGAAGGCAGTCTCTGCTTACACCAGCATCGGCCCACGCAGCCACTCCTGTGGCAGTCTCTGCTGGCATCGGCCCACGCAGCCACTCCTGTGGCAGTCTCTGCTGGCATCGGCCCACGCAGCCACTCCGGTGGCAGTCTCTGCTGGCACCGGCCACTACGCTGCCACTATGGTGGCAGGCTCTGCTGGCACCGGCCACTACGCTGCCACTATGGTGGCAGGCTCTG